TTAGAACGCAATTGTATGCCTTCAACTACCGAACATTAGAACGCAGTTGTATACCTTCAACTACAGACAATTAGAACGTAATTGTATGCCTTCAACTACTGAAAATTTGAAAGCATTTGTATACCTTCAACTACAGTAAATTAGAACGGAATTGTATGCATTCAACGACATAAAATTAGAACGCATTTGTATGCCTTCAACGACATAAAATTAGAACGCAATTGCATGCCTTCAACAACAGAATATTAGAACACATTTATATGCCTTCAACTACAGTAAATTAGAACGCATTTGTATGACTTCAACTACAGAAAATTAGAACGCAATTCTATGTCTTCATCTACAGAAAATTAGAACGCATTTGTATGCTTTCAACTGCAGAAAAGAAGAACGCATTTCTATGCCTTCAACTACAGACAATTAGAACACATTTGTATGCCTTCAACTACAGAAAATTAGAACACAATTGTATGCCTTTAGTACAGAAAATTAGAACACATTTGTATGCCTTGAACAACAGAAAATTAGAACGCAATTGTATGCCTTCAACTACCGAACATTAGAACGCAGTTGTATACCTACAACTACAGACAATTAGAACGTAATTGTATGCCTTCAACTACTGAAAATTTGAAAGCATTTGTATACCTTCAACTACAGAAAATTAGAACGCATTTGTATGCCTTCAACTACAGAAAATTTGAACGCATTTGTATGCCTTCAACTACAGAAAATTAGAACGCATTAGCATGCCTTCAACGACAGAAAATTAGAACGCAGTTGCATGCCTTCAACTACAGAAAATTAGTACGCAATTGTATGCCTTCAACTACAGAAAATTAGAACACATTTGTGTGCCTTCAACTACAGAAAATTAGAACGCATTTGGATGCCTTCAACTACAGAAAATTAGAACGTAATTGTATGCCTTCAACTACAGAAAATTAGAACGCATTCGTATGCTTTCAACTACAGAATATAAGAACGCATTTTTATGCCTTCAACTATAGAAAATTAGAACGCAATTGTATGCCTTCAACAACAGAAAATTAGAGCGCATTTTTATGCCTTCAACTACAGAAAATCAGAACGCACTTGTATGACATCATCTGCAGAAAATTTGAACGCAATTGTATGACTTCAACTACAGAAAATTAGAACGCAATGTATGCTTTCAACTACAGAAAATTAGAACGCAATTGTATGTCTTCAACAACAGAAAATTAGAGCGCATTTTTATGCCTTCAACTCCAGAAAATCAGAACGCACTTGTATGACATCATCTGCAGAAAATTTGAACGCAATTGTATGACTTCAACTACAGAAAATTAGAACGCAACGTATGCTTTCAACTACAGAAAATTAGAACGCAATTGTATGCCTTCAACAACAGAAAATTAGAGCGCATTTTTATGCCTTCAACTACAGAAAATCAGAACCCACTTGTATGACATCAACTGCAGAAAATTTGAACGCAATTGTATGACTTCAACTACAGAAAATTAGAACGCAACGTATGCTTTCAACTACAGAAAATTAGAACGCAATTGTATGCCTTCAACAACAGAAAATTAGAGCGCATTTTTATGCCTTCAACTCCAGAAAATCAGAACGCACTTGTATGACATCATCTGCAGAAAATTTGAACGCAATTGTATGACTTCAACTACAGAAAATTACAACGCAATGTATGCTTTCAACTACAGAAAATTACAACGCAATTGTATGCCTTCAACAACAGAAAATTAGAGCGCATTTTATGCCTTCAACTACAGAAAATCAGAACGCACTTGTATGACATCATCTGCAGAAAATTTGAACGCAATTGTATGACTTCAACTACAGAAAATTAGAACGCAACGTATGCTTTCAACTACAGAAAATTAGAACGCAATTGTATGCCTTCAACAACAGAAAATTAGAGCGCATTTTATGCCTTCAACTACAGAAAATCAGAACCCACTTGTATGACATCATCTGCAGAAAATTTGAACGCAATTGTATGACTTCAACTACAGAAAATTAGAACGCAACGTATGCTTTCAACTACAGAAAATTAGAACGCAATTGTATGCCTTCAACAACAGAAAATTAGAGCGCATTTTTATGCCTTCAACTACAGAAAATCAGAACGCACTTGTATGACATCATCTGCAGAAAATTTGAACGCAATTGTATGACTTCAACTACAGAAAATTAGAACGCAACGTATGCTTTCAACTACAGAAAATTAGAACGCAATTGTATGCCTTCAACAACAGAAAATTAGAGCGCATTTTTATGCCTTCAACTACAGAAAATCAGAACGCACTTGTATGACATCATCTGCAGAAAATTTGAACGCAATTGTATGATTTCAACTACAGAAAATTACAACGCAATGTATGATTTCAACTATAGAAAATTACAACGCAATTGTATGCCTTCAACAACAGAAAATTAGAGCGCATTTTTATGCCTTCAACTACAGAAAATCAGAACGCACTTGTATGACATCATCTGCAGAAAATTTGAACGCAATTGTATGACTTCAACTACAGAAAATTAGAACGCAATGTATGCTTTCAACTACAGAAAATTAGAACGCAATTGTATGCCTTCAACAACAGAAAATTAGAGCGCATTTTTTATGCCTTCAACTACAGAAAATCAGAACCCACTTGTATGACA